GATGTAGAACATGTAGACTACAGATGTAGAGCAGGTAGACTACAGATGTAGAGAAGGTAGACTACAGGTGTAGAGCAGGTAGACTACAGATGTATAGCAGGTAGACTCAGATGTAGAGCAGGTAGCTTACAGTTGTAGAGCAGGTAGACTACAGATGTAGAGCAGGTAGACAAGAGATGTAGAGCAGGTAGAATACAGATGTAGAACAGGTAGACTTCAGATGTAGAGCAAGTAGATTACAGATGTAGAGCAGGTAGACTACAGATGTAGAGCAGGTAGACTACAGATGTAGAGAAGGTAGACTACAGATGTAGAGCAGGTAGACTACAGATGTAGAGCAGGTAGACTCAGATGTAGAGCAGGTAGCCTACAGTTGTAGAGCAGGTAGGCTACAGATGTAGAGCAGGTAGGCTACAGATGTAGAGCAGGTAGACAACAGATGTAGAGCAGGTAGACTACAGATGTAGAGCAGGTAGACTTCAGATGTAGAGCAGGTAGACAACAGATGTAGAGGAGGTAGACTGCAGATGTACAGGAGGTAGACTACAGATGTAGAGCAGGTAGACTACAGATGTACAGCAGGTAGACTATAGATGTTTCTGGGATATCTCCACATTTGAGAGTTGCATGTACGGTCAAATGGTATACGTCTGAGCTGCCTTCTGTTCAACTCGATCAACACCTGTTACTGAATTGACTTGACATTATTGTGTGGTGGAAGGGAGATCACTCGTGAAGAGGTATATTTATTGAGCAATAACAGCGAACTCCTGAATAGTGTATCACCACTTGAGCTGTTCCCAAACTTCACGTGTGTTGTAAACAGCCATACGAGGGGCACAAGGGGGCACAAGGGGGCACAAGGGGGCGCGGTGGGCGAACTGGCTAAAGCGCCAGGCTAGTGATCCAGCGAGGTTGAGGTGACGGGATCGAGCCAACCTGTGACCGGGTGTAAAAACCTTGAAGTCAACTTTGTGTACAGACTCTTTCAGTGTTGTCACAGCCCCTAGTGTACAGTACACAACCGTGTGCACTTAAAACAACACACGAATCTGTTGGTATATGGCCAGATGGTGGCCACATGAAGACGTGCAAACACCCAGTTGCGCGTAGAGCAACATGCAGTAGACTTGGACAAAGTACTGTGACTATGTGTTCCAGTCCACCCAGCTGTGAATGGGTACCTCGTTAGGATGGGAATGCCACAATAACTCGTTGCGCCTAGTGGCTGCAAGAGTTGTATGCTCCCCAAGGAGTTGAGATTGACAATACGATGTGCCGCTGAGATTGACATCCAGTGAATGAGGGAAAAACAAAGCGCCTTTGAGCAGCTGAGATGAGCTGAGCTGAGCTGAGCTGAGCTGGATATCGGCGCTGTAGGTATGTAGTGTATGTAGGTATGTACGTTGAAGAGCGATGTTCGAGTAGCAGTACGAGTACTGAGTCCCATGGGATACTGTCAATCGCTCTTCAATGTGCTTCGCCGTGTGGCCCTAGAGGACCAAACACTTTATGAATACTCTGTACTCAAGCTTATCCATTTCTGCAGTTTCGATAGGGGTACTTGTGATGTCACGTAAAGTAGGGACATGTGCATGTCAACATTAAGTTTATGTGAATGATAGAAACCTTTCTTCAATATCATACAGTTATTTTTATCATGCACATAACAGAAGCATTTCCGGCTCAAAACGTTTTGATAGCCCCTCGTACACAGTGTACACGGCCGCTTGATGGTCCACGCAGCACTCAGTTTTCCAGCCACGTGTCTGTGGCAGCGACCTACTTTGTATATCTGAGTATTATGATCACTTTGCGCCAGTTAACTTTAAGTAGTGTAAATAATCGTTAATTCTCTATCTTTATTTCAGCCTCCAACAGGCGCTGACATATGCAATGTAAATATATATTATAATATATTGCTTTGTTTCCGCTCACTATAGTAGCTGAAATGAAATAGTTAATAATTCATGTACTTTTGATAAGCTCTTGATTTCAGCTCATATCAGCGCTGAAACAGTTCATATACTTAATCGCTTAGTTTTAATAATACAATCAATAGTGTCTACTCAACCATGACCATACGTTACGATTGGTCCATTCAAACCTGCATGCTTTTCTATGTCTGAACACCTCGCACCCTCACACGTCATATCGTCACCAGACACGACTGACAAAACTTGTGTGACAGGTTAGTAAAGTTATTATCTTCAATGTGTTATCTTAAACTCACAACATATTAAATAAGGGTAATTAATGCCGTCAGGGTAGTTAGCGTGTGTTGTAAACGACACGCGGTTAGACGCAAAGCTCTGTTTTAATCATATCTTCCCTGTTAAACGTAAATAACATTACATAACTATAAAGCGAGGCATTGTGAGAATGCTTTGTGTAGGAATGTTGTCTCATTGTTGTTATCGTAGTTTGCACAATTCAGGTCAGGTGAGGTCAGTTGAGGTCAGGTGAGGTCAGTTGAGGTGAAATTTGGTTTAACGTCGTGCTTGAGAATATTTCGCTCATATGACGACGTGCATGCGTGTGTGTGTGTACCCATTAATGCCGAGCGCCAGGCAGGGACCAACAAGTACCATATTTTAACGTCTTTTGGTATGAGGCAGTCGGGGATCGAACCCGCGACCTTTCGCTCTCGAGGCGGACGCTCTAACCACTACACCACGGAGGCGGCCTTTAAACAGTATGTAGTGATGGGTGCTACCGCACTCGTACATCGGGTAACGTTGGATTGGCCATCCGATGCTGCTCGTATGTTTCCGGGTGTGATCGAGGCACGTGATCAACTTACCCGCCAAATCTGACAGATGACAATTAGGAGATCAAGACGAGACACTGACGACTACGGACACGAATACTTCTCAGAACCCTACAAAGTTGATTTCCCCACTCATCATCGCTTACGAAGAAAGGTAAGCGCCTTTCCCTATCACCTGTCAGATGTCCAGTCCAGTCCTCAGAAAAGTTAGGGAGTGTTTCAACACCACTTTTAGCAGTATCACGGCGGGACACCTGAAATGAGCTTCACACATTGGTCCATGTGGGGAATCAAACCCGGGTCTTCTGTCTGACGAGCAGACGCGTCAATATGAATGTTCATGTTCTCCAAGATAAACTGTTTTTCATATTCAAACCCAAACCAACAGATCTTGAATCGTGACCCTGCGCATTCAAAGCGATTTCAAAACACAATCACTTATTCCACATCACTCGTCCCTTTCCGTAATATGCAAACTGTCCCTGAATGACGAGTTGATCACGAATGAACCACGTCAACCCTGTACGATATATCTCTTCCTGTGCTCATTTTCCCTCTGCACCGGTTACCTAGGGTCTATCTCGCCTGGTGCTCAGTTTCCCTCTACACAGGTCACCTCTCTGTCTCAGGTAAGTGTATTGTCACATGGGCTGCGTCTATTCCAGTTATAACGCTACACACCTGTCCTACTGTGTACAGGTAACACCACAATGGTTCATCTAACTGTTAGGTCATCTCCAGGCACATTCTAAAATCCGGACACCTAATATAATGCACTATTTAGACTGAACATGGTGTATGAAGTGTCTACTTTCATTACTTCCTTGATCGGCCTCTTGACTTCAATACTGAGATCTGTCCCGATGTATGTGGATGTATGTATATAATGTGTGTTTGTTAAAGTTGTTATTGAATTGATCTCTGATAAATGCTACAGCACAAAATATGGTAAAATACTTCTACATTACCACATTATTTTACATCTAATGTAGAGAAACCCGAACTGAACGTCTCCTACTTTCGATATGATAATGAGCGGGTGTCGCCATGTCACTCTGTCAGGTGATTGACATGCTGCACACGGTACATAACTGCATGTTGTAATGCTGGTGACGACGAGTTGCAAAGCTCCATTGACGAGCTGCTCACAGAAAGGCCACTGATTGATGGTGCTCCGTGACACCAAAACATGCCCAGTCTGTTATACTATACAATGTCATGTGGTAATGCTTGTGAACCTCAAAAGATAACATATTCCTATAGCACAATAGCACAACTCATACAACAGCGAGGGGGACCGACCGCCTGACTTTCATGGCAGTGTTTCTTGAACTAAACACCTGAACTAAATTATGAATTAATACCGTAAACGAGCTAGGTTTGAAAAAAACAAAAACAGCAACATAGAAATGTGCTGTAATTAAGAGTTGTATTCTAAATTTTACTAAGTTCAGAAATCAGTACAAAGGCACCACAACTGCCCATAAACTTTCGTATTGTGGCTGAACGGTTCCAGTATGTCAGGCAAAGGAGAGAATTTTGTGTTTGTGTAAACCGTGAAATATCTGAGGAAATGTATGTTCTGTGTTTTACGTATGAAGAAGTATCCAGTATCAATATCAGGCCACAGAAAGAATCTACAAGACTGACAGAATCAAACCAACAGACGGTCACTTCCCTTCATCCAATATCCAGCTTCTAACGCATCTCAAATACAGGATTGTTTGTGTATAACGTGAAATATGTGATGGAATGGCTGTTCTATGTTTTATTTATGACCAGCAAGACAGAGCGACCCCCACACGCTCACATCATACACACACAATACAGACGGCCCAGTTGAAACCCGTCTACCAATGTTATCTCTCATTGATTATAGGATCTACATACATCTGGAATATGTTTTCATTTGTTCATAATTCCAAGAGCAGGATTTACTAGACATAGTTCTTTTAGACCTGTCAGTAAATCGGGACTACAAATATGGTCGGTGTTTGTGTAATGAATGTTGTGGTTTGTATAGTGGAAAGGATGTTTATGTCGTGTCTCCTGACTTTTGGTAGGAGAGATGGCGACGTCCCAGAAGTTGACAGAAAACTTCCTGACATGCACCATATGTAGAGAGGTGTTTGACAAGCCCTGTACACTTGTGTGTAATCACACCTTCTGTCGGAAATGTGTCGTCAACTACACCAAACCCAGACGGGAAGCCATCAGTGCCAAGTCTCTCCTGTGTCCATTCTGCAGCAAGATGACGAAAGTGTCTGACCCCGAGAGACCAGTGGAGGAGTGGGCGGATGACGTCAAGCCGATCTTTGTCATCCAGGGACTGTTGGACTCGTTTGGCCCCGGATCTAAAGGTGAATAGATGTAGATTGTAGCAATATACGTGTTGTTTGTAAGCAGGTAACAGAATAATTGATTTAAGCAATATAAATGTTTGTGATGTTATGAACACTGTATGACCCCTGCTATGTATATACTAGTATAGTTTGATATATGTAAAAAAACTGTTTGTGAGGAATGTGAACTTTCATTGTGGATATGTGTTATACGAGCAAGACACAGCATATCAGGTGACATGACCAAAGACATATATAAACCTTATTCATGATCCGTACAACAACGTTTACGGTGAGACAATTCCAAACATATTTACATGACGTTTCAATCTGAGACGTGTTCCGATGTTTCCGATACATTTTCTCACATGTGTCAAGTAGGAACATGATGCGACACATCCAGCCCTATAATACATTGTGATGTCACAAGGTTAATATCACCACATGTAGCCCTATAATACATTGTGATGTCACAAGGTTAATATCACCACATCTAACCCTATAATACATTGTGATGTCACCAGGTTAATATCACCACATCTAGCCCTATAATACATTGTGATGTCACCAAGTTAATATCACCACATCTAGCCCTAGAATACATTGTGATGTCACCAGGTTAATATCATTACATCTAGCCCTATAATACATTGTGATGTCACCAGGTTAATATTCCCACATCTAGACTAATAATACATTGTGACGTCACCAAGTTAATATCACCACATCTATCACCTATAATACATTGTGATGTCACCAGGTTAATATCACCACATCTAGCCCTATAATACATTGTGATGTCACCAGGTTAATATCACCACATGAATGAATGTTTTTTTTCAGATACAACTAACTGCAGTTATTGCAAGGAGGAAGGGGAGACAACTCCAGCTACATCTTGGTGTTCTGTTTGTGACGACGCACTGTGTGAACGATGTACAAGGATGCACCAACGAATCCCCTCTTTCCGTCACCATGACGTAGTTGACCTGTCTGGAGAGACAAGGGTCAAGGTCAAGAGAAAGGTCATGTGTAAAGTTCACAAGGACGAGAATATCAAATATCTTTGCAAAGATTGTAAAACAGCTGTTTGTCAAACATGTTGCACGATCCATCACAGGAAATGTGAGTTGGTTGTTGAAATCGAGTCAGAGATTCCTGCAATGAAAATCGAGCTGAGTAAGAACAAAAAGAATTTGTTAAAGAAACACAATGAGATGAAAACACATGTTGGAAAACAAACCTACAAAGTTGGTGAAGAATTGGCTCGTTATGTACAAATAGAATCAAACATCAAGTCTGCAAGTCTCAAAGCAATACAGATGATCAAAGCCAAGGAACGGAAACTTCTGTCTGAACTGAAAGAGAGGTCTGACAGACACATTGGACAACTGAAGGCAGACATAAAGTCAGGTGAGATGTCAGTACAGATGTACCAAAAACAGACTGAGCTGATAGACCAGGCTCTACAATCTGAGTGTGACATGGATGTGTATGAGATGTATCAGGGATGTGAGGCCGTTGATGTGGAGGCTGTCGGAGTCTTAGACGTGGAGGAGAAGGGAAGAATAGACAGGATAACATTCAGACAGGACACGGACAAGCTGAGTAGAGCACTGGAAGATCTCCATCTGGGTGAGATACACGTCCAGTATGACGATGTGCTGGACCTGAAGGCTGCTCCTGTGTTACAGGACACCATTCATGTGACTGTAGCAGGAGATGCAGGTAGAGGAGACCCCTATCACGTAACAATGCTAGTGGTGAATGGTACAGACACAGTGGTAGTTACAGACTACATCAACAAAAGTGTCAAGTCCTTCTACACCAGGAACAGTCAGCCAGGTCACAGCAAGCTCAGTCTGGAAGGTAGACCATGGGGTATAACAAGGCTGAAACACAACCAGGTGGCTGTCACTGTGATGGGTACCAGTCAGATTGTAACAGTTGAAGTGAACCCTGACCTAGTGATGCTGTCGACCATCACAACCAGCAAACATTACCGGGGTATAACGTCTCTGACACCATCAACACTAGCAGCAAGTGCCCTGTCCCCTCCCTGTGTTGATATCCTGGATATGTCAGGACACGTGCTGAAGACAGTTTGTCGAGGTCACAAAGGTGGAGACATCTTAAAGTATCCCTGCTTCCTCTGTACCACGAGGACAGGAAACATCCTGTTGTCTGACGGTGGAACCAACTGTGTCGTGTGTCTGACGCCAGACGGAGATGTGGTGTTCAACTACAGACCTACAGGAGACACAGCACTGAAGTACCCACGTGGTATCACAAGTACCAGCACAGGCGACATCCTGGTGACAGACTTCTCACTACACAGAGTCATCCATCTGACAGAGTCAGGACAGTTTGTTAGAAACATACTGACATCACAGGATGGTGTCAAGAATCCATGGGGACTGTGTGTTGGTGGGCGTGGTCGTATTTACTTGTGTATAGACAATGTAGTGAAGGTATTTACATGCTGTAAGTGAGAGAACATGTCACAATCTCTTTCTGTATGTTAAATATAGATATATGTTACCTGGATAGATATGATGTGATGCACTGTTGGAACATTTGACTTTTGATGTGAACGTGACGAATCATGCCTGTTGTAGAAAGACACAACTTGTAATATAATGAGTGTTGGTTGGGTAGCCTAGTGGTTTAAATGCTCGCTCGTCACTCCGAAGACCCCGGTTTGATTCCTTACATGGGTACAATGTGTGAAGTCCATTTCTTGTGTCCCCCGACTTGATATTGCTGGAATATTGCTAAAAAGCTAAAAGCGATATAAAACCATACTCTCTCACCTACTGGAATGTAATGTAATGTAAGCAGCCATTACTTCTACTTTATATTCAGATATATTGTCTCAATAACACTATGTGGTCCAAAATCATGTAAAATATTGATATTTTGCATTGTAATGCTTTTGAATCACTTTTTCTATAAGTGACTTTGATGAACAATTGTTTTACAAAATTTACTGAATGGGTCAAAGGGAGATAAGTCATTATGCGAAGTATACGAAGAGCCATAAAATGTAGCGAACGAATGAATAGTTTATCAGTGAGTTAGTTGCGCTTTTACGCTGCTTTTCACATTATTCCACACATTATAATTTGTTGGGAATCGAGCCCGGGTCTTCGTCATGACGAACGAACACTTTAACCACTGGGTTACCCCAGCCCCTATTTTATCACAATTTCTGTTTAGTGTGAGTGTTGTAAATTGATACATGCAGTGTTTATACCGACGTGTACAGTTCTCTGCCTCATACCATTCATTCACTTGATGGAGGAGTAAGAAACGTTGTGTTCCTCATAATAAAGAAGTTGACATCGATAAAACTCTCTTCCTGATGTGTATCCCTTCTAAATGCCATTCAAAGACCTGATGTGTTACATGTACGTAGTGATGTCTGGCTCAGTATAGAACATTGCCATTTCCTTTGCTAATATGTTTTACTACCCTGCAATTGTTCTGCCTTTGAAATTGCTAATTATGATTTGTCTTGATTTGTAAACTTGGTTACTTTTATAATACAATTGTTAATTTGTTGAATGTATTACAGTTGTTTGTTGTTTCACACTTTATTGTTTTGAGAGAGAGAGAGAGACAGACAGAGAGAGAGAGAGACACAGAGAGACACATAGAGACACAGAGAGAGACAGAGACAGAGATAGAGACAGAGAGACACAGACAGAGAGAGAGACAGACAGACAGAGACAGAGACAGAGAGAGACACAGACAGAGAGAGAGACACAGAGAGAGACAGACAGAGAGAGAGACACAGAGAGAGACACAGAGAGAGACAGACAGAGAGAGAGACAGAGAGAGACAGAGAGAGAGACACAGAGAGATACACAGAGAGAGAGAGAGAGACATAGAGAGAGAGACACAGAGAGACAGAGACAGAGACAGAGACACAGAGAGAGACACACAGAGAGAAACAGAGAGAGAGAGAGACACACAGAGACAGAGACACAGAGACACAGAGAGAGATCCCCACTGTCAATCTCCAGGGTCCCGTTGTACAAAACAACCGTAGCTCTAAGGTTACCTTATCTCCTTAAGTTTAACCTTAGGCCTTTGCTAAGGTTGACGTCCCAATGGAAGAATCTACTTTACGCTAAGGTAGCCTTAGTTAAGGAGAAAATTTAAGGTTGGTCCGACCCAACCTTAGTGTGGCTAAGGCTCACAGAAGACCTTTACCCAAAATACCCTCTGTTTACTCTGCGGCGTAAAACGCTATTCACTCGCCCACTGAGAAACTGGATACTGCAACCGCCACTCGTCAATGGTCGAGTTTATACCTTTCAAACTTCAAACTCATGTCATCGTATTCCAGTTGTGTAGATCGATGCTTATGCTGTTGATCACTCGATTGCCTGGTCGAGACTCGATTATTTACAGACCGCCGCCATATAGTTGGAATATTGCTGAGTGCAGCGTTAAACAACAACTAATAAGCTTGGTTGAAGGTTTCTGGTCTGCAATAGACAGAGGTATCCTGTTAAATAGGTGCGATTCCTCACATGGGTACTAATTTCTGGTGATATTTCTGGAATATTGCTAAATGCGGCGTAAAATGAAACTCACTCACTCCTGTTTAACAGTCGGTTGTTGTGTGGTATGTGTTTAGCTTTAATCTGCACACACACTATTGGCATATATAGACCCAACACAGAAATCGCAATATTAGATACCCGTAATGGTGGCCAGATCTAGCTTTAATCTGCACACACACTATTGGGATATAGACCCAACACAGAAATCGCAATATTAGATACCCGTAATGGTGGCCAGATCTAGCTGTAATCTGCACACACACTATTGGCATATATAGACCCAACACAGAAATCGCAATATTAGATACCCGTAATGGTGGCCAGATCTAGCTGTAATCTGCACACACACTATTGGCATATAGACCCAACACAGAAATCGCAATATTAGATACCCGTAATGGTGGCCAGATCTAGCTGTAATCTGCACACACACTATTGGCATATATAGACCCAACACAGAAATCGCAATATTAGATACCCGTAATGGTGGCCAGATCTAGCTTTAATCTGCACACACACTATTGGCATATATAGACCCAACACAGAAATCGCAATATTAGATACCCGTAATGGTGGCCCGATCTGTTGCATGATTTATGATACACTGCTTGGTTTGGGAACATATGTTCTTATGCATTTTCAAAGCGATATTGGACCAAGTCCAGTGTCCCTCAGTGACATTGGTTCAGTACAAGTCACACAACGACGCTACAGATGGGTACTTTAGCAAGTTGAATAACACAAGGGGCTCTTTGAGTGATTAATTCTACACCTACTATAAGAGTAGCAACATGTTAACACATTTTCATTGTCCATATCACTGCCCATATTAAGTGGTATACTAGTGTACACGTGTTACGTCATAATTTATCACGTTGTGACTCCCATGGGGATTGTTTTGTTAAACATTCCGTGACAAAAATAGATACAGAGAGTGAAAGTGAGAGTGAGAGTGAGAGTGAGAGTGAGAGTGAGAGTGAGAGTGAGAGTAAGAGTATATTTCGTATAATGGCCTCATGGCCCAGAGTACAAAACAATACATAATTGTTTGTTTGTGCGCATACAATACATATACATAAATATAGTGCATCACTGTATAGCAGTCAAACAGGTAGGTTAGATACCCAATTTGTGAGATAAGCAACGAAATTCACATAATATACGCCTCAAGTCTCTATTAGTGTACAACGAAGTTATATACACTTCTGTTTCCAAAACTGACTTGTACGATGAATAAACTTTAAGAAAGGAACTACTACCAATATCACAGTACCAATATCACTGCTACTAGTTTGGAAACAGATATCCTTGGAGCGTTGCTTAAACGTTGCAATAATACATCTACGTCGCCAAAGTTTTGTTTAATCCACACAAAAGAGAATCAAAATTTAAACAGTAGTGAACGAACATAAGACACGAAGTTGACACTTCCATTTTCACCATTCATTCTCACGAGTCTACACCAGTACCTGATACAACGGCTTAAATAATTAAATATATCCCTCCACGCTAGAGCCTCGTCGACTATATAAACCAGGTTTAATAATACCGTATCATTCAAGCTCTGATCGAGACACACCATTAGACGACATTAACTCGACCAACCTTGATCAAGGACCAGAGCGCTGTCTCAGATATTGAATATTGACATCTCGTGTCCAAGCTACTCAAATCATGGGTGATATCTTGGATAAACTTGCTGACTTTACAGGCCTGTTCTCCGGGTTTTCCAGAGACCCAGCTAGAATTCTGATGGTTGGACTCGATGCTGCAGGTATGTTAATTATTATATATTTGCAGCTACCCTTTGCACAACTTGTTATTGACATGAACACATTCTAATTTTACAGGATACATTTGGTATTGCAATCATGCTTTATGTATTAATTAGGGCTCCTTGCCTCCAGGCAGGAGATCTATTGAAATCGTTCGGATTATTATTATTTATTATTCCGCCGTATTTTGTACCAAACATAGCTCCTAAACCAGGGTTCAGAATCCCTTCCAAAAAATCACCAAGGTGCCCACAACGCTGAAGTTGATTGCGCCAAAAAGGCAGGACTCTAGGCCCAATAGTACAGGGCAGATAACTAAAAAATAATTCAAAAATTTCAATTTCCAAAGCAATAATCTCCGAAACTACATGTCCAATGACTACCAAATTTCAGGGGCAACTCTGGAATCCGATAACCTTCAATGATGGCCCATGGGACCAAGAGGCTCAGTTTGGCGGCTATATTGGATTCAAGGAAATTTGAAGTTTTTGGCGGGTAGGTAATTCCACTGATCCGTACATATGATAACTGAAGTCCTGACACGACCAGTGGTAGTGTAGCCTTACGGCTAGTGGTAGTGTAGCCTCAAAACTAGTGGTAGTGTAGCCTCACGACTAGTGGTAGTGTAGCCTCACGACTACTGGTAGTGTAGCCTGACGGCTAGTGGTAGTGTAGTCCCACGACTAGTGGTAGTGCAGCCTTACTGCTAGTGCTAGTGTAGTCTCACCATATATATGTATATACCTGTTTGCTTGAACATCCAGGAATTGTATCTACTTGTTGGAAACTTGTAATTATCAGTAAATATTGCAACAGTTTAATTCATGCGTATTTCTGCATTGTACTGTTTACGCTTTGATGAGAAATGTAGACAGGTCTTTGTGTGATCCACGAGAGAGTGAGTGAGTGAGTTTAGTTTTACGCCGCACCCAGCAATATTCCAGGTATTTTGCGGCGTTCTGCAAAATAATCGGATCTGGACCAGACAATCCGGGGATCAACAGCGTGAACATCAATCTACGCAATTGGGATACGGTGACATGTGTCAACCCAGACAGCGAGCCTGACCACCCGATCCCGTTAGTCGCCTGTTACGAAAAGCATATGTTACTGAAGATCAATTCTATCCCTGATCTTCACGGTGTTATTCACGAACTGCCATGAATCACGGAAGGAGCTCACAGAGGACATACAATGAAAGTAAAATGCCAAGAAGACATAATGACCACGATCTATTGGCCGTAAGGAAAAACAGACTGGTGTACGAACAAAGATGTATGCTTTTTGGTTTTGATACCTTTGTGTGATACATTAACAATAAATAAATAGACAGTGACATGGAAGACACGCCATGATGGGTTTGAGAGGACCGTGCAGATGTAGAGCAGGTAGCCTACAGATGTATAACAGGTAGACTACAGATGTAGAGCAGGTAGACTACAGATGTGGAGCAGGTAGACTACAGATGTAGAACAGGTAGACAACTACTTTCACTTAAGATCCATTGGTAACATTCGGCAATACCTGACAACTGCTGCAACTCAAGCCCTTGTTCGAGCTCTTGTTACATCTAGGCTTGATTACTGTAACAGCATCCTTTCAGGCCTCAGTTCTAAACTCCTTGATAAGCTTCAGAAGATCCAAAATACTTCCGCCCGCATCATCAGCAAGACTTCTAAACGTTCCCATATAACACCAGTGTTGAAAGAACTGCATTGGCTACCAGTTAGGGCCAGAATTGACTTTAAGATCCTCTGTCTGACATACAAGTGCCTCCATGGTTTGGCTCCCTCCTACTTGTCTGAACTCCTACATCCGTATGTCCCCGCACGCAACTTGCGCTCAAACACACAAAACCGACATGTGTCATCCCATCCTACAAACTGAAATCCTTCGGACACCGATCATTCTCTTACTCCGCGCCTGTGCTTTGGAACTCTCTCCCATGTGCCCTTAAAAGCTCTGCCACAATTGAGATTTTTAAGTCCAGACTTAAAACCCACCTTTTCTCAGTATATTATGTATAACTTCATCTGTAAATACTCCAGTGTAAATATTCTGTAGCGCTTTGAGCATGCCTTAGGGTGTGGAAGGGGCGCATTATAAATATGCATTTATTACTATTATTATTATTACAACAGATGTAGAGCAGGTAGACTACAGATGTAGAGCAGATAGACTACAGATGTAGAACATATAGACTACAGATGTAGAGTAGGTAG